CGGGGCGCTCGGCGAAGGCGCTCGCTCGCTGGCTCCCCCCCTGCTCCGGCCCCTCGCCGCCGCCGCCCCTCGCCCTCCCCGCGGGGCCCGGGCGAGGTCGGGAGCGCGGGGGGCCTCGTGGCCGCCGCGGCCGGGAGTGGGCCCCGACCGCGTCCCCGAGCGGGGCCGACGAGTGGCGCTCCCGGTGTGGCAGGAGCGGGTGCCCGCCGAGGGAGCGAGGGCCTCCAGAGCAGGCGGGCGCTGTGGTCCCCGGCGTCCTGGCCCGTCTCGGGTCGGGGTGGGGGGGGCCGAGCCGCCATTCACTGCCCCTGGGTGCGTGGCCGAAGTGAGATTATTCGATGCGGCTTGTTGCTGTTGCTGTTGCTGTTGTTGTTCCTGTTGTTGTTGTTGTTGAACATTATTTCTTCTTAAGAATAATTATTGTTGGGACCCCTGGTGCGCGCCCCCCCCGCCGCGCCTAGGCCGCAGCCTCATTTTCATCATTTTCGTGAGGAAGTCTCAGGCAAAACGGGTTGGTCCAGATCCGGTTGTTTTGTTGTCGGTTTTCCCTTGCAAAAAATAAGCTAAAGTGGACATTTCTTGTTCTAACATAACCAAACTTCAAGAATCCCTTGCAAAAAATAAGGTAAAGTTGACATTCGCGCGCGCAAGACGAAATCCTTCCAAAACCTTAGTTTTCGTAGCGATTTTAACATAAAAACATCAAAAAACCAATGGTTTTTCAACAAAAAAAATGTCAAAAATTCATCCCGCGCGCTCTTGCGGATTCGTAGGAAACCCAACACTTTTTAAACATTTCTGTCAAACGGGCTTTTGCGAGCAACTTTTTCGAACTTCTGCAACAACGGTTGCGCACCTGCCAGGGCCATCATCCCTGTCAAATAATACCATGCGGGACACATTCGTTTTTTCTTCGCGCGCGCACGCCGTCGTCGTCGGCCGCGGGGCCCTGAATAGTAGCCACGGTCGTCCGCATGCCACGAAGTGAAGTGTCCGAACGTCATAGGGCGGGAAGCTGGGTGTGGGTGGTGGCGAAGAGTCGTTTGGAAATTTGGTAGAGCTTGAACCGGCCCCCCCACAAAGTGGGGGTATTGCCCGCCTCCTATGAAAACCCTGGCACTGGTGAGAACGGAGTGTCCCCACGTGCTAGTAATTGTTGTTGTTGTTGTTGTTGTTGTTGTTGTTGTTGTTGTTGTTGTTGTTGTTGAACTCTCATTCTTGAAGAATAATTGTTGTTGATCCCCCCCACCGGTGCACATTGATTTTTTTCGATTGAAGTGCCACCCCCGGGGCTCGCACCTGGTTTTTTCTTAAGGAAAGTCTTCCTGCTCAAACTGTGCCCCTGCCCCCCGGGCTACAACAACAACGGCTCCCGCTTGAGACTTCTTCAATTTTTACTCAGGACCCCCGCTCCCGCCTGAGACTTCCGCGCAATTTACTCAGGAAAGGCGCTCCCGTTTGAGACTTCCTCGCAATGTAATCAAGACCACCGCTCCCGCCTGAGACTTCCGTGCAATTTACGTGGGAACGGCGCTCCCGCCTGAGACTTCTTCGGATTTTACTCAGGACCCCCGCTCCTGCCTAACATTTCCACGCAATTGACTCAGGAACGGTGCTCCCGCTTGAGACTTCCTCGCAATTTAGTGAGGACCCCCGCTCCCGCCTGAGACTTTCGTGCAATTTGCTCAGGAACGGCGCTCCCGCTTGAGACTTCCTCGCAACTTAGTCAGGGCCCTCGCTTCCGCCTGAGATTTCTTCACAATGTACTCAGGACTGCGCTCTCGCGTGCGACGTCCTCGCAAGTTTTTCTGGAATTGCGTTTCGGCGCTCAGGAACCACGCGCGCGCCAAGGACGCCTTCACAACGTGGTATCTTCCCTCTTCCTTCGTCCTTCCCCCTCCCCTTCCTCCCACTCTCCCTCGTTCTTCCCCTCCTCCTCTTGCAGGGCCCGCGCCAATTCCAATGGCGGGCAGAGAGATGTACGCCCCCGAAGGATTGTCCGCCCGTTCCGGTTTGCCCGTACGTCTAAGCCCGCCGGCCCCAGCAAAGAGAAATAATCCCCCCGAAAGGGGTGTGATCGAAGACGAAGAGGGCGGGCATCGAGGGTGTAGGGTATACGTGTTGAATGACTCGCGGGCAAGTAAGAGCGTACAGCCTTAAAATGGTTGTTGTTGTTGTTGTCGTCGTCGTTGTTGTTGTTGTTGTTGTTGTTGTTGTTGGTGGTGGTGGTGGTGGTGGTGGTGGTGTTGTTGCTGTTGAATCCTCACTCCTGACGAATAATTATTGTTGATCCCCCCTCACCGGTGCATGCTGTTTTTTCTCCATCAAAGTGTGCCCCTCGACGCTCGCACCCTGTTTTTTGAAAGGGAAAGTCTTCGTGCTCAAACTGTGCCCCTGGCCCCCCCGGATTACAACAACAACGGCTCCCGCTAGTGATTTCCTAAAAATTGTCTCAGGACCCCCGCTCCCGCCTGAGACTTCCTCACAATTTACTCAGTATCGGTGCTCTCGCTTATGAGTTCCTTGCAATTCAGTTAGGACTCCCGCTCCCATCTGAGACTTCCGTACAATTTACTCAGGAACGGCGCTCCCGCTTGAGACTTCCTCGCAATTGAATCAAGATTTCTTTGCAATTTAGTCAAGACCCCCGCTCCCGCCAGAGAACCCTTCACATGTTATTCAGGAATTGCGCTCTCGCCTGTGACTTCCATGCAATTTATTCAGAAATCGCGCTTTAGACGCTCAGGAAACACGCCGCGCCAAGGATGCCGTCACAATTTACTTTGGAATCGCGCTCTCGCCATACTCAGGCATCCCGCTTGAATGTCCCACCCGCCCGACCCGCCCGTCAGGGGATCGCCCGCCCGCCGTGGGCTCCCGCCCGAGACTTCCTTCAGGAACGGCGCTTTCGCCTAGGAATTCCTCGAACGTTCACGCTCTTACCTTCCTGCTCCTCCTACTTACCTCTCCCTCCTCCCTCCTCCCTCCTCTCCTCCCTTTTCTCTCCCTCCTCTCTTCCCTCATCCGTATGCCTCTCTGCCTTATCCCCTCTCCCTCATCTCCCTCCTCTCTTCTCCCTCCCCTCTCCTGCCTCCTCGCTCTTTCTTTCTTTCTTTCTCTCTCTCTCTCTCTCTCTTGTTCTCTCTCTCTCTCTCCCCTCTCTCTCTCTCTATTTCTCTACCTCTCTGATCTGCCTGTTTTTTGGTTGTTGTTTCTTTCACTCTCTCTCTGCCTCTAATCAACCGCCCCCTCTTCGCTCCTTCTCTCCTGGCGTTTTCCCTCTTCCTTCGTCCCTTCCCCCACCCTTCCTCCCACTTTCCCTCGTTCTCCCCCTTTCTTTTTGCAGGGCCCACACCAATTCCAATGGCTGGCACATGTACGCCCACGAAGGATTGTCCGCCCGTTCAGGTTTGCCCGCCTGTCTAAGCCCGCCGCCCACCGCAAAGAGGAATCATGCCCCAACGGGGGTGTGATCGAAGACAAAAGGGCGGGTATCGAGGGTGTGGGGAACTCGTTTTGAATGACACACGGGCGAGTAAGAGCTAACAGTCTTGGGATGATTGATGTTGTTGCTGCTGCTGTTGTTGCTGCTGCTGTTGTTGTGGTTGTTGTAGTTTTGTTGCTGTTGATGGCGGTGGAGGTGTTGTTGTTGTTGGTGGTGTTGGTGTTGTTGGCGGTGGGGGTGTTGTTATTGTTGTTCTTGGTGGTGTGACTGTTGCTAGTGGTGTTGTCATTGTCGTTATGGTTGCTGTTGGTGTTGTTGTTGCTGCAGCTGGTGTTGTTGTTCTTGATGGTGCTGATGTTGATGGTGTTGCTGATGCTGTTGTTGTTGGTGGTGTTGTCGTTATTGTTGGTGGTGTGTTGTGGCTGTCGGTGATGATGTTGGTGTTGTTGGTGATGCGGTTGTTTGTTGTTTATCGGTTGTTGATTGGTGTTGTTGTGTGTTGTTGTGTTGTTTCTGTTGTTTGTTGTGTGCTGTTGATGTTATGGTTGTGGTTGTGGTGGTTGTTTGTCATTTGTGTTGTGTGTGCTATTGTTGTTGTAGTTGTTGGTTTTGTTGTTGTTGTTGTTGTTGTTGTTGTTGTTGTTGTTGTTGTTGAATTCTCATTTCTGAAGAATAATTATTGTTGGTCCCCCCACCGATGCATGCTGTTTTTTCTCCATCAAAGTGTGCCCCTCGACGCTCGCACCCTGTCAATTGACAGGGACAGTCTTGATGCTCAAACTGTGGCCCTGGCCCCCGGGTTACAACAACAACGGCTCCCGCTTGAGACTTCCTTACAATTTAGCCAGGACCCCCGCTCCCGCCCAAGACTTCCTCGCATTTTATTCAGGAATCGCGCTCTCGCTTGGGACTTCCTTACAATTTATTCAGGAATCGCTCTCCCGGCGCTCTGGAGTCGCGCTCTCGCTGGAGACTTGCTTGCAACTTACTGAAGAATGGCCTTGCGTTGGAATTTCTTGCAATTTGCCCAAGCGCCGCGCTCCCGACACCCAGGCACCCAGGAGTCGCGCCCGTTGTGGCCCCATGTGCATGCCCTTCGTGGCCCCGCTGTCGCCATTTGTGTCCCCCTCACTGTCCTACGTGGCCCAGTTGCTACCCTCAGTGGCCCCACAGTTGCCTTCTGTGGCCCCGCATTATCTGCACTTCGTGGCCCCCGCTCGTTCGCGCTCTTCGTGGCCCCATACGCATTCCCTTCGTGGCCTACTTCGTGCCCTTCGTGGCCCCGCTGTCGTTCTCTCTCGCTCTCGCTTTCGCTTGTCGTCGCCGTCGTCGTCGTCGTCGCCGTCGTCTTCGACGTCGTCGTCGTCGTCGTCGTCGTCGTCGTCGTCGTCGTGGTCGGTCCCCTGTCCGTCCTTCTTGGGGTCGGGTCAACGGTCCGCGGCCGCCCCGCCGATCAGCGCTGCCGCTGGCCAGGCCGACGGTCCGCGGCCGCCCCGCCGCTTGCCGGGGCCCGGCCTGCAGGGAAGAAAAGTATACTCTCCAAAAGGGGTTCGACCGATGACGAAGAGGGCGGGTATCGAGGGTTTGAGAAATACGCGTTATTGGACACTCGAGCATTTAAGGGCGAACAGTCTTAAAATGATTGGTGCTGTTGTTGTTGCTGTTGTTGTTGTTGTTGCTGCTGCTGCTGCTGTTCTTGTTGTTGTTGTTGTTGTTGTTGTTGTTGTTGTTGTTGTTGTTTGGCGTCGTCCCCCCGCGACCCGCCCCGCGACCCGCCCCGCGACCCACCCGAGACCCACTCCGCGCTCCACCCGCGACGCACCCGCGACCCATCCGCGACCCACCCGCGACCCACCCCGTGACCCGCCCGCGACCCACCCGCGACACCCGCGGGCCACCCGCGACCCATTTGCGAACCAACCCGCGAAGCATCCACATTGCTTTAACAAAAAGATCGGCGCCTGCGGCGGGCCCCTTGTATAGTTAGTCAAAGTTATGCGCCTGCGGCGGGCTTCTTCAGAGCCGCGCAGACTGCCGACGTCCCCGCCGCCCCTTCACTCGTATCCGCATCTGCAGGGTGCTACGCAACTTCTCTTCCTCTTCTTCCTACTCCCTATTCACCTCCACCATCGTCCTCCATTCTTTCTGTTTCTCGTTAGTTTCCTCCTTCGCTTCATCCTTCTTCATCGTCGCTATCTTTCATATTTCTTTCCAGTCTGCGTCATCATTCTTCCTCGTCTCTCGTCGTCATCCTCATCGTCCCCCCCCCCTCCTGAACATCCTAGTCCCTCCTTCTTTGTCCTTCTCCTCCTCCTCCTCCTCGTCCCCCTCTCCTCCTCCTCCTCCTTTTCCTCCTCCTCCTCCTTTTCCTCCTCCTCCCCCTCCTCCTCTTCCTCCTCCTCCTCCTCGTCCCCCTCTCCTCCTCCTCACCCCCTCCTCCTCCGGCTCCTGCTCCTCCTCCTCCTCCTCCTCCTCACCTCCTTCGCCTCCTCCTCGCCACACTGCGCTTCCTTTTCCCCTCAGTCTTTCCTGCGCTCGCATGCTTATGCCGAACGTGTCCGCCCCATGCTGCTCCCACCGCCCGCGCGGTGCGCAGGCGACCGCACCCCCGTTGCGCCCCGTGGCCGCCTCCGCCCGCTCACGCCGGCGCCCGGCAGCCCCATGGCGGAGCAGGCCCCCGCCAGCGAGAGTTAAACTGGTACAGTCCACCCGCATAATCGGGGGCGGCAAAGAGGGGGTGATGACTAGGGGGGTGGATATCATGGCATGGGCCATGATACGTCCCCAGATTTCATGGCGCCTTTACTTCTGTCATCACGTTCCTGCCCCCCCTAGGCCGCGCACATGCCGCTGGCCATGATTTGCATCCCCCCCTCTTGGGCGCCCCTCTCTTGGCCGCTCCCGAGAATAAGTCAGAGGAGGAAAAGGTACCCACACCTCTACCCTTCCCTCGTTTTCCCCTGTTTGGGCCTCCTGGGCGGCCCTTGTCACCACCGCTAGATTCGCCTCGAAATTCTAGTCAGAACGCACCCCGGCAGAGCTCCGGGGAGACACGGTATCGGTGCCTTCTGCTATCCCCAAACAGGACAAGCGGTAAGGACGCAAGGGCCTTGGAGGGCCACGTTAACGTTTTTCGAGCGAGGTTGGTCCGCGAGAGTTGCTAAGACAGGGCCGAGGGGACAAGGATGCGAGGATAGCCTTGGAACGTTGCTCATACTTACTATGCGGGTTGACTGCAGCGCACTCGGGGCCAGGGTCTGGGACCACACCAGGGGGCGAAGGAACATAATCAGTGCTCCTTACGCGCGTCGTAGACGCCGCAGACAGCAGACCCCGCAGACAGCGAAATTCTTGACGGAAGCGTGGGGGTGACCTACCACTTGCGCCGCGATTGCAGTGTAATGTTTGGCCATCTTCCGGGATTGGAGATCGAGCGGGCCAGCGCGTTGACTTGTGGCAGTGAGCCATGAGACGGCTATGATGGTGCAGGCGTGGCGATACATGCGGCAGCACGCGGTGCCAATACGAAAGCCGTGACTGTCCGGGGTGGGGCCGACCAGAGGAGACTGGCAGCACGTTGGGTCGGCACCCGGGCCCGGGGCGTCCGGGGGCACGGCCGAGCGACTGAATTCGGTGGCGCGTCGTGTCCGTACGTTGCCCAGGGGGGACAGTCCGGACAGGGTCAATTGAAGGATGCACGCGGCACGCGGCACGCGGAGTCCAGTCTGCATTCGGGGCCCTTGGAACCAGGACGTCGCCGCCCAGGACGTCGCACTTTCCAGCTAGCTGGAACGAAGGATGGAGAATGTCTCGGCTCACGGCTGCAATGTTGGCCGGGTGCGCCACTGTCTTGGTCTACCAAAAGTCCCATTTTACGACGACCGGATGCACTGTCCTGAGAAGCCCTGCAGCCCTTCGGCGCAAGACTTCCTTGGATGGCGAGATGGTAGGCGTGAGGGAGGGGGGGGCAGGACGACGAGGAGGAGGGCGAGCAAGATGAGCAGGACTGTGAGGAAGAGCGGGTGCAGTGTGAGGAGCAGGGAGGGGATAGAAGAGGAGCATGAGGACGAAGGATCGGGAGGAAGGCAGAGGAGGACGAGGACACGTGCCCACCGTGCCCCCGCGGCAGCACTTCCCATGGTGTGCGCATGCCGCGCGCCCCGCGCTCCCTCCGCAAAGGCTGGCGGGGCATCGGGCACGGCCCCCGCCTTTGTGTACGCGAGCAGGGCGCTGGCTCCGGAGGGCGTGCAGAACGTCCTCCCTCCTCCTCCTCTTCCTCCTCCCTCGTCCTCTTTCTCCTCTTTTTCCTCCTCCTCCTCTTCCTTCTCCTCCTCCCTCGCCTCGTCCCTCCCCCCTTCTCCCTCGTCCCTCTCTCCCCCGTCCCTCCCTCCATCCTCGTCCCTCCCTCATCGTCCTCTCCCTGCCCTCCATCCAGTCGCCACGGCGCGCCCCAGAAGGGGGCTCCCCCCTGGCGCTGCCTCGCCATGACAAAGGTGCACTGACACTCCCCAAGGCAGCGTGCGGTCCCAGCAGAGCTATCTCTTCCTGCCTCTGTGAAGCAAACGCCGATTTCACCCGAGAGGTGATACTGCGTCGCGCAAGCTGTGCGGCGCAAGCTGTGCAGCGCCATGCGTGTGGTGCAGGTTGTGCGGTGTAGACTGCGTGTGTCGTTGGCTCTGTGGCCTAAACCACGCGGCTCACGCGATGTAGCTGAAGCCATGTCGTACAGTCTCTACGGGGCCGCCCGGCGCACGAGGCGCCCACGAGCGGCCACGGGCGGATGCACCGGGCGAAACCTCGGGCACACGAGCCCCGCTCACGAGGCGACCACTCGGCGGGCACCGGGCGAAGCCTCGGGCACACGCGCCACGCGCCCGGCGCACGTGGCGTTGAGTCGTGCCTGTCCCTCTACGGGGGGAATGTTAAAAAAAAGCAAAATAAATGCTCCAGGGACTATTTTTGGAGCGTCTGTGGTCATCTTTTGAACATTTGTTCCGTATGTTTCATGTCTCGTGTCCGAAATCCCCCTGCAGGGGGACAGGCCCGACCTCAGCGAGGCGGCCACTCGGCGGGCAGCAGGCGAGGCCCTGGCAGACACCCGCCGAGCGCCACGAGGGGCCACCAGGCGGCCACTCGGCGGGCCCCTGGCGAGGCCTCGGCACGCGCACCCAGCGCACGAGGCGCTGACGAGACGCCCACGGGCGTCAAGTCGGGCATGTGCCTCTACAGGAGGAATTTCCAAAAACAATCAAAGCACGATGTCTGGACTATTGTTAGCAACTTTTGGATATGTTTGGATCATGCTTCACTCTTCTTCCAAAATCTCCCTGTAGGAGGACATGCCCGAATTAGCGCCCACCAGCCGGGCACTGGGCGAAGCCTCGGCACACGCATCCAAGTCCTCAGGGAACCCAAAATACGATCTCCTGAGTGCAAGCACTGTTTGGGGGTTTTCCAGGTTACGGACGACTGGCGGATCCTTTTCAGACTTTGGTCTTCGCCCTGGCACCAATCGAAGTCGTTCCCACCAGCTGCATGGATGACTGACACATTGCTTTCAAACTTGGGCGTTCGCTCTGGCGCTGGGCCGCACTTGTCTTCCTCACCCCTGGCAGTTACAGGGATGGAGGGCGGCTGCGTTTCAAAATGGAGCTCCCGCCTGAGACTCCCGCAGCACATGTTTCTCGATCTCCACAGAGTAGCGCAACACTTCACGGACGGATGGCAGTTGTTTGTTCAAAGTGGGGTTCTCTCTCTGGACTTCCCCATGCCTTATGGCCAGAAGCCCGACGCTGATCAACAGTTGCGCGATAACGAGGCGGATCCTTACCAACGCGGGGCTGTCGCTGGAGACGTTGTTGGATGACTAGAGAGCCCCTGAGGGGGCAGACGCCGCCGCCCCACCTTTTTTTGGGGATCGGGGACTTAGCGGCACGCTTGTTATGTGAATTCTCTGCGTGTCGCGTATATCCGCGGTTGGACTCGGGCTCTCTCTCAGCTTCTGCTGTCGTGACGGCTGTGCAGCCACAAATCTTTTCCCACATGTGCAGCCACATTGTTGTGAGGGGGTCAGGCATTCCCGGGGGCCCAATGCTTCGGCGATGGCTCGCTGAAGGAGGGGCTTCTTTGTGAACTTCCTGTGTGTCTCCTGGGAGCCCTTTCGTGGGTTTTGGACGGAATCAGTCGTGGTCCTCCCCTCGGTGTCGGTGGCACTCGTGGGTCCCATCTGCGGCGCCTTCGGGGCCTCTGCAACGTCAGATCTTCAGCCCAGGAGGGGCCAGAACGAGCTGAAGAGCTTGACCCATCCCCGGCTCGTGCTCTTCGTCGCTTCTCTCCGCTCTGCCCTCTCGCCAGTTGCTGCCTTTTCGCGGCCGTTGCTCTTGCAAACTTGTCGTCTTTCTGCCTAGATGGTGCGCGTGCCTGCCCCGCTGGCCTCTGGGTGCGCGCCCCGGGTCCCGCCGCCGCCGCTGTTCGCTCGCCTCCCCCCGCGCGGTCAGCGCCCCTCTGCCTTCCTGATCTTCTCCTCGACGCAGGCCCGCTGGAAACTGAAAGCTGGGGCCCTCTCCGGTATCTGTCCAGCTGCCTGCGGAGAGTCCGGCCGCCGTGCCAGTCCAGCACGCTCGGCGGCTCTCGTCCGAGGGGGCACCAGGGGGCGCACCCGCGAGGGACGAACAACATGATGACGACGAAGAGGATGAGGAAATCAGGATGTTGACGCTGATGGTGATGATAATGGTGATGACCCGGACGATGCTGATAATTTTGATGATCATGATGATGATCGTTGGGGATATCGTGGGGGGCCCCACGGTGGCTCGTTGGAGGCAGGTTTGAGGCCTTTTGTTGAGGAAACCTGTGTTTGTTGGGTTTCTTGGGGCGTCTGGCGCTTGGAGCCCTCCCGCGGCTCTGTGGAGAGGGCATGCTTCACGCTTCGCATATCCCCACCAGCCCATCCCAAAACAGCATTTTTTTGCGAAGCATAATGTGAGGCGCTGTTTTCGGGCGTACCTTCTCCTGCCCTCGCATGTACCCTCCTGCTCCTTCTACATCCCACCTGCGCCCTTTTAGCTCTTCCTTGTGGGAGGAGTTGGTGGGGGACGAGGCGGAGGAGGAGGAAGAAGAGAAGGCGGTGGGAGGCGAGAGGGAGATAGCGGCGACGACGACGACGACGGCGATGATCACAACAACGACGACGACGACGACGACGTCGACGATGACGACGACGACCGCGACGTCGACGACGAAGACGACGACGACGACGACAACGACTACGACGACCCCGCCTGCTCCCTTTTAGCTTTTCCTTGTGGGAGGAGTGGGAGGAGGACGGGGCGGAGGAGTTGGAAGAAGAGAAGGCGGTGGGAGACGAGAGGGAGAGAGCGGCGACGACGGCGACGACGGCGATGACCACAACAACGGCAACGACGACGACAACGACGACCAAGAAGGCAACGGCGACTACGACGACGACGATGATGACAACCGCGACAACGCCGACGACGAAGACGACGATGTCTACGACGACCACGACGACGAGTCAATCATCAATGCCTTTTCTGGGTCATTTGCCCTGAGGGCTTCATCTTGGAGGCATCTTGGGGCTATCCAAGGGCCTTCTTGGAGATATGTTGGAGGTCTCTGGGCCCTTTTGGGGTCCCCGTGGTGCCGTTCGGGGCACCATTGGGGCTCTTTTGGGGGGTATTGCGGCCCTCTTGGGGCTCGCTGGGGGGGGGCGGGGAGGTCTTTTTGAGGCCACCTTGGAGGCCACGGCTCAAAAAGGAGCGCAGCGTCAATTAGGCCCCCCCCTTCGGAGCACGACCATGTTTGCCCTTTTGGGGCCCTCTTGGGCCGCTCTTGGGGCGCTCTTGGGCTCTCTTGGGCTCGTCTTGGGCCTCTGTGGGGCCTGTCTTGGGGCTCTCTTGGGCCATCCTGAAGCTTCAAGAGCCCATTGGAAGGGAAACTGCGAGAAGGGAAAAAGCATTGATGTTCCATAGGTGTTTGAAGTCCTTGGGAGGCTACGTGGCCTCTTGGGGCCGTCTTGGGGCGGTATTGGAGCCTCGTGTAGGCTTGTTAGGAGCTATCTTGAGTCATCGAGGGCTACCTTGAGCGATCTTGTAGGTCATCTTGAGCTCTTGGGCTGTCTTGGCGCCATCTTGGGCCAATGAAGACGCTCCAACGACCCGCGCCCCCACCTCAAGGCCCAGGGGGAGGGGGGAGGGCAAGCTAGCTGCGCTCGCGTCATATCGGACGTCCTACCCCTCCCTCCCATCCTTTCCCATGGTGTAGACCTCCTCTCTATTCGCACAGTCGGGGGGCGTAGCATGGAATAGCATTACATTGCATAGCATGGTGTTGAAGATCCATGCGTAGCATGACATAGCATGGCGTGGCGACGTCCCAAAGTGGGGGGCTTCTGCGGCCAACAAAAACGAATCGACACCGAATGTATAATCATTTCCGATGGTTTTTTTCGGGGGGGGGGGCATTTTCTAGATTTTGGGGCCTGTTTGGAAGGACTGAAAATCATGCCGTGGCATGGCGCTGGAAATAAGGACGCCAGCGCTGCAGCGGGAGCACGATTCGGGACGAGCGGAAGCGCGGAAATGAAGCCAGCATTGAAACGGGAGCAACATTTTGAAGGCACACCCAAGCGAAAACCCATATCTTGGGAATCATGCGTGTGAAAAAAAACAGTACGCGAAGGGGGGCCGGAGATTTTCCGGACGTCATCGGAGGAGAGAGGAGAGCAGTATTCATTCTGATGTTGTAGGTTGTGGAGGGGTAATACCCTCCCCGAAGTGGAAGAAGGGGGTTGGCCAGAGTGGGTCTGGGTCTGCTGGGGCCCTGCTGGGGCGTCCAGGGCCCCTCTTGGGGCCACTGGTGGGGTCTTTGAGGGCCCTCTTGGGAGCTTCTTTGGGGAGGCCCTTGGGGCCATGTTGCACAGGAGCTTCAATGGGATCGGGGTGATCGATGGAAGCAGGAGGGGGGGGGGACTGTTCATAGAATCGCTTTGCTCATTCCGCCGGCCCATGGTCCTTCATCGCTGTCGTTTGTCCGCGTGTTCGTTGCCCCTGCGGCGTTGCGGGGGCGGTGTTGGATTTTCAGATGCTGGTGGCGGCCGGTTTGTTCCCCTGTTGCTGCTACTGCTCCTCCTCCTCCTGCTCCTCCTCTCCCTCCTCCTCCCCCTCATCACAATCCTCCTCCTCCCCCTCCTCCTCCTCCTCCTCATCATCCTCCTCGTCATCATCATCATCATCATCATCATCATCATCATCAGCATCATCATCATCATCAGCATCATCATCATCATCATCATCAGCATCATCCTTTTCCTGCTCATCGTCCTCAGTCGACTCTCCAATGCCAGCTCCCGTCTTTCTGGTCGACCTCCCGCTCTTGGTATCATCGTGCTGAGCCAAGTGGATATGCGTGTTCAGGTATCCAGCCTGATGTGTTCGGAGCGTGATGCTCGACGAAGGCATGGACGAGAAGCCTTCGTTGGGGGGCTCATCCACTGGCCTTCGGCCGATCCCGCGACCATGTCTGGGTGGTGGGTCGGAGTCTTCGTGGGGGCTTCGTTGGGTCTAATTAGGAGGGCTGTCGGGGGTCCCCGGGGGGCAATTTCGGGTCCTTGTGGGAGCATCCTGTGACGATCTTACGGCCTCTTGGGGCTCTCTTGGGGGCCTCTTGGAGATGTTTGGGGGCTTCTGAAAGCCTCTTGGGGCCTCCTGGGCGCCTCTTGGGGTCGAGGGCTCGACATGTTCGTTCGGGATCCTCCTTCTGGGCTCTCTCTCGGGGCCGTCCTATGGCCGTTTTGGGCCGTCTTGGAGGCCTCTTGGGCAGTTTTGGGGCCCACTTGGGCTGTCTTCAGGCCCTCGTGGATGCCTCTCGAGTTGTTTTGGGGCGATCTTGGGGCCTTTGGGGCCGATTTAGAGCGTCGGGAAGCCGAAATAGCGGGAAGCCAGAATCTTTCAAAAACCAAAGGAACATTACAATTTCTGCCTCGTGGGGCGTCTTGGAGGCTTCTTGGGCTGTCAGGGGGGGCCATCTTGTGCGTCCTTGAAGCGGCCTCGTGGCGCCTCGGAGCACTCTTGGACGTTCCTGGGGGCCTCTTGCGGGCCTCTTGGCCCTTCTTGGGGTTCTCTGGGGAGCCCCGAGGGCGGCGCCCAGGCGCAGAAGCACTGTCTCGAGCAGGCGCCCCGAGCGCGGCGCCCAAGCCCAGGGTGGCGTCTCGGAGCACTCTTGGGCGTTCTTGGGGGCCTCCTGCGGGCCTCTTGGGCATCTTCTTGGGGCTCTCCGGGGAGCCCCGAGGGCGGCGCCCAGGCGCAGAAGCACTTCGCCCGGCGCCCGCCCCAGAGGCTGCGAGCGCGCGCGAGCTAGAGTTCTTCGACACCCTCCTCCTCCTCCTCCTCCTCCTCCTCCTGCTCCTCCTCCTCCTCCTCCTCCTCCTCTTCCTCCTCCTCCTCCTGGTACCAAAGATCTTATCACGCCTCTGGCCCGCTGGGCCGGCAGATGTTCTGCTTCCATCTTGTCGCGTTCCGTAGTGCTCGAGCGATGGACGGCAGTTCTTATTCCAAACGGAGCTCCCGCCTGAAGTGCGCCATCGGGCGATTCCAGAGACCCCTCCTCAGAATGTGAGCAGGGAACTCTGGACGGCACGGGAGGGGGTACTTCAGCATCGTTGACACGTCTTTGGTGTACTCTGATCTCTGGTCTCTTCGCCTCCTCCTCCGCCTCCTTCTCATCCTCCTCCTCCTCCTCCCCTCCTCCTCCTCCTCTCTCCTCCTCCTCCTCCTCCTCCTCCTCCTCCTCCTCCTCCTCCTCCTCCTCCTCCTCCTCCTCCTCCCTCTTGTCCCATGCTGCGTCCACTCCGCCTCCTCCCTCCCGACTCCGACCCCCCAGAGAACCCCCCCATCATCGTATAGGTCTCTGGAGACACCGGGGCCTCCTGCGCCTCCCTGCCCTCCTCCGCCCTCCCCCCCCCCTCCCCTGTTCCTCGTGCCCTCCCCCTGGAGCTGGCAGGGCCTCCCTGTCATTGTCCATGTCCTCCTCTCCGTCTGCTCAGTGTCTCCCGCCTCCGTGCGTCGTCCATCCTCCCCTCCCCAGACCCCCGACGTCATGATGTTGTCACGACGCGACTCCCAGAGGTCCGGTGACCCATTCCCTGGGACCATTTTTTTCATCCTGGGTCGTTTTTTTGACGGTCCTGAGGGCCGGTGAGGGCCCCTGGAGGCCAGAAATGGGGAAAAATCTCCAGTCGGATTTTTTTCATGCCTCGAGGGGTCGAGGGGGTCTGGGTCTCCGTCTGCTCTGCCCCCCCCCCTCCCAGCCCTCCTTCCTGGGCCCCTCTCTCGTCTTCACTCTTCCCCCCTTTGGGGCGTCCGCAGGCTCCGCCGTTCTGCACCCCGGTGCCGGCGGCCTGGGCGCGGGAGCTGGGCCACGCGGCCGGCGGAGAGTTTTGCGGGCAGCGGGCGTCGCCGAGACCCCGGGGGGGGGCCATGCAGGGGGCCCAGACCCCCTCGAGGCATGAAAAAGTCACGACGCTGGGTTTTCCGCTATGTTCGGCCTCCGGGGGCCCTTACCGGCCCTCAGGACCGTCAAACAACGATTCGGGATGAAAGGCCGGTCCCGGGGAATGGGTCCAGACCTCTGGGGGTCGCGTCATGAAGAAATCACCGCGTCGGGGGTCCAGGGGGACGGGGGTACCCCAGACGGCTACGCGTAATTAAGAGTGGCCTTTCGCAGGAGTGACCCGCGGTGCGGACGCACAGGGGTCGTCCCCAGCCAGGGCCTGCGCGTTCGGATTCGGCGTCCCCGCGGCCCCGGAAAGACGCGCACACCAAGTGGCGCTCTTGCCCAGGGTCGCTCTGGCGTGTAGCAGGCCAACGCGAGTCCCAATGTGAGTCCCAATGTGAAGGAGGGCAGTAGGAGGGTCGGGGCTCAAGAGACGGGGGTCAATGCAGACGGGGTCAGGAAAAGCGCTGGGTCCTGCAGGATCTTGCAGAGCCGCGGTTGCATTGATTCAGACTTGCGTACAGGATCTTGCAGGATCCTACAGGATCCTGCAAAGCCTGACTGGCCCAGGTCTGGATCAGCAGATCCCCGAGAGGGGCCCGAGGAGGACCCCCAGGCCATGGAGGTGCCCAGGAAGGACATGAGGAGGACCCCATCTCCCTTCTCCGCCCCCCCTTGCACGCGTGACAATTCGCAGCACCGTGGCCCAGGTTGTTCGACGCGCGAGCGGATGGCCCCGCCGCACCGCGACAGGAAAACAAAAACGCGCTCGCTGAAACGCAGCACGTACCGTGCTCAGAACGTCCGTGTCAATGGGTCGCGTGTTGGCTCAACGCATTGGTTCTCGTTTTGGCGAGCGTTTCGCGTCAAACCAACGTTTTCAGTCTACGTGTTACATTCCGTGTCAACACGGTGCGTGTCGCGTGCTCCGTATCGGGGCAGCTAAGGCGGAGGACCCTCCGGCCCAGAGAGGCCCAGACGGGCCACGAGGCTGCCAAAGGGGTGGTGGCCGAAGAGGAGGGCTCCAGGCCCCCGAGAGGCCCAGGAGGGCCCCCTTAGAGGAGGGCCCCGGGAGTCGTCCAGGAGGGGCCCACGAGAGGGCCAGGGAAGGGCCCTGGGAGGGGCCTGTTTACGGAGGGCGCCAGGACGCTCCACTGCTCGTCGCTCCTCCCTGCCCCCTACCCCTGCTCCTCCTTTTGTTTCTTCCTTCCCTTTTTCCCCCCTTTCCCCCCCTTTCGTCTTCTCTCTCGCTGTTCCTGCATTTTTCCATCTCCCCCATGTGAAGCTATCGCCCCCAATCTCTGCCCCCTCATATTCACCCTCCCTCCTTTCTGCTCCCTCTTTTCTCCACCCTTTCGCCCCTCTCCATGCTCCCCCTCCCTCCCTCCATCCTTCTCTGAACTCCTTGGTCGCCCCATCCCTTCGGTCGGAAGGGCGATGCGAGAACCTACGTCGGCATTCACAGCCCGACAGTTCCTTGGAGATGGCCCCCCACCCGGTCCTGAGACAGTATCCACTTTGATTTTGGCCCACGTTGAGCCTGCCGGGTGATGTTGGTCACTGTCCCTCTCTCTCGTGTTGCGATCAATGCCCCTTCTTTGCATGGCTCCCCCCAGACAGACGAGTTGTTGCCGCATCACCGCGATTTGTCTGGGACGATACTATCCAGCAGCGCTTCCACGGCTCTGCATGCGTCCCACAGGCAAAATGCGCTTGCAGGGCGGAGAAGGAGGACGATGAGGTGCAACATTTGGCGGAGAAGGGTGAGGGTGAAGAGGGTTCGATAATGCGTCATCCTCATCATTCCTCGTCGTCGTCCGCTTCGTCCTAATCGTGATCTTCCTCACCTCCTCGCTAGCACCTCTAATCGTTCCGTACCCTTCTCATTGGCATCCTCCATACCTCCACGTGCCCCTCCCCCTCTTCTCTCCTTTATCCTTCTCTCTCTCTCTCCCTTCCCGTCGTCGTCGTCCTCTTCCATCCTCTCTCGTCCCAGCTCCACCCATCGATGTTGGACTCTTTTGTTTTTTTGAGCCGTACAGGTGGGATGGAGTTGCCCAGGAGGCATTCTACGAGTCTGCGCTCCTGGAGCTGTGCCGAAACTCGTGACTGGACGTGCGCTAGGTGCTGTAGCATACCTGGAGAGAGGGATACGCTGGAGTGGGTCATGTCGCCGCGCCACTCGGCGGTTTGCTCTGGCCACCAGGTTCCGCAGCGGGCACGGGCACTGCGACAGAGGGCGGAGGGCACCCGCCTTGGCGGCATCTGCACGGCTGGCTGGATGCTCAGGGTCGTGGCAATGCCGAGAACTTACCACCTTAGCTGCCCTGAGGCGCCCGCTTTGTTACGCAGCACGTACCGTGTTCAAAGCGTCCGTGTTAGCACGCTGCGTGTTGATTCGGCACGCGTTGGTCCACGTGATGGCGAACGTATTGCATCAAACCTACGTTTTCAGTCCACGTGTTGAGCTCCGTGTCAACACGCTGCGTGTTGCGTGTTGCGTATCGGGGCAGCACGCGATTGTTTTCGTTTCGCTCGCGGCCGAGATGATGGGTGTCGACGCCTGCACGGAGCTCCGTGTGCAGGCATTGGGCAAATTCGTTCATCGGCATTGTGCGTTTCTGGCCGCGCAGGAGTGAAGGGGGCAGCAGACGAGGAAGGAGATGAGGGAAAGGCATGAAATCAGTTCAGCGGTCTGGCTGGATTCCTGGGAGGCCGAAATCAGCCATCAATGCGAGTACCACTTCAGAAAGGTAAAGTCCCACCTCTAAAACGGGGACGTTGGGGTCCACATTGCCCGTGATGATTTCACCGCAAATCAGGCGGCAGATGAATGCGCGCAGGATTGAGCCTGTCGTGCCAGGCCCCCCAGCATGTCATCCAGCACGTGTGCGATATTGATAATATGGCAGCTCGTGTGCAGAAACGCCTCATAGAGGAAGCCCTGCAAATGGCAATTCGTACCCCATCCCTTTACCCGACCACCTTCCGTGCTGACCGCGTGGCCCGCAGTCGTGCTTCCAGGGCCCAGCGTGTAGCGAGCCTTGAGCAAGCGCTGCAGGAGAGCCCACACAGCGTGGTGGAGAAGAGGGGCATGAGTTTTGCACCGTCTGCCGAGGGCGCGCAACCACGGAATTGGGAACGCTAGAGTAGCTGGTCTCGCAGTGCCTGGGTAATCCCCACCAAATCCACCAGAGTCATGGGATGTCGTGCGCTCGTGGGGGCTTACCGCAGTGCGAAGGTAAGCAAAGATTTGCAGAGCCTCTGCCACCCCCCCACTGACTGGGATAAGAATGTGCTGTCTACACTCGCAGACGGCCGCCTCCCCCCAGGTCAGAAGGCATGGCTAGACGAGCTGGGCCAGGGGCAGGGATCAGAGGAGTAGTTTTGCAGCACACGTCGTCGGTCCGCTCAATGTTCGGATCTTGGGACCCAGAGTGTGCGCCAGGAAACGATGTGGATGAGGATGAGGGTGATAATGATGATGATGATGATGATGATGATGATGATGATGATGATGAGGAGGAGGAGGAGGAGGAGGAGGAGGAGGAGGAGGAGGAGGAGGAGGAGGAGGCGGAGGAGGCGGAGGAGGAGGGGGAGAGGCAGCCCGAAAAGGAGGGAGAGGAGGAGGGGGAGGGAGGGGCCGCCCAGGGGAGAGGAGAGGAGAGGCAGTATGGGAGGGGCAAGGCAGATGAGGGGAGGAGCAGGGGCGTCAGGAGGGGGGGAGGGAAGGGGTGTAGGAGCAGAAGGAGGGGGGAGGCACAGGGCGGAGGAGGCGGTGAAGGCTTGGACACGAGGGGGGATTTCGAGGATGGTGACGGCGAGGAGGGAAGCAAGGGAGGGCAAGGGGGCGGCGCTGGGGCTGCCCCCAGCCTTTCGCGAGCGCCACCCCTCCGGCTCCTCCGCGGCCACCTCCACGACACACCTCCGCGTGCCACGGTGCTGGGGAGGGCGAAGGTGAAGCGGAAGAGCGGGGTGTTCCTGGCGTGCTGTGTCCCTTGCGTTTCGAGCCATTTTGGGGCCACCCTGGTCCTCTGGACTTCGTGAGGGCTCACTCGGAGGCCGCCGGGGCCTCCCTGGAGCTCCTGGGAACACCTTGGGCCAGGGACACCTTGGGCAACTCGTGAGGAGGAGGACGAGGAGGAGGAGGAGGAGGAGGAGGAGGCGGAGGAAGAGGAGGAGGAGGAGGAGGAGGAGGAGGAGGAGGAGGAGGAGGAGGAGGAGGAGGAGTCTCGCCTCCTCCGTCGGCTGAGGGGCCGGGGCTGCGCCTGCCGGGCCGGCGCGGGCGGCAGCGGCGGCCCCGCGCCAGGGCGCGGCCGCGGCGCAGAGGGGGCATGGCGGGCGTGCACGTGCCCGTGGGACACCCGCCGGTCGTGTTCTGCACCCCGTCGAACAGGAGGGCGGGGGGTGCGGCCGGGACAACTACAAACCCATTAACTCCCGAGCGCTTTTGGAGCGTTGGGGAACGCTCCGAGAAGGCCGCGGCGCCCGAGACATCCTCCAGAGCCGCCAGATCTCAGAGGTTCTCGACTTATTTATCCTCACCCCAGTTTGTCCTCGTCCTGGCTTCGTCGAATTTCTCCTCCTGACGCCTCCCTTCTCCCGTCCCCATTTGAGCGACGGAAAGAAACTGGTTCGTCTTCGCCGACACCGGCGCGTGAACTGCCCGCGCAATTTTGTGAGTACGCGCCTTTGCTTCCAGTGTAGCGTGTAGCGTGCCGCTTCTGGGGAACCACGCTTTTAGAAATTCACGACACAAGGGGGGTATGGTGAGTCCTCCTGAATCTGCCTGCCTCCTCCTCCCATCTCCTTTCCCGTCCTCCCTCCCTCGTCTCCGTCCGAAGGTCGGGGGCACCTCTCACGGCGGCGCGTAGAAGCGGATATGACTAGAGGAGTGGAGGGCTTAGAGGGCACTAGCCGCGAAGGATTTTTTATGTTGAGGACCCCCTCTTCCAGCTCTCGGCGGGGAATGGAAGCGCGTCTCTCCTCCTCCTCCTTCCCCTCCCTGCTCCTTCCCCTCCCTCCTCCTCCTCCTTCTTTTCCTTCGCCTCCTCAGGAACCTCCTTTTGTCGTCCACAGCAGAAGCATGCGGGGCCATCGCAGCAGCAGGTGGGGCCAATATTTCACATTCAAGCTTGAACAGCGACTCGCGCTTCTGCCTGAGACTTCCTCCGTTCTCAAGCTCGGGCCCCTCCGATCGCGGGGGAATGAGAATTCCCCAAGTATTGTTGGGATCCCAATCCGTCAGTGAGCCCGCGGACAAACTAATTAGTGTCCCATTCTGGCCAGGGGGGTTATTGAAGACCCTTCGGGGTTGGCCACCGGGCGCCACAAAACCTCCGCATACAGGCGCACACACAATAGACGCGACCTCGGCGAGGGTTCCGCTCTCGCTTCGGTAAGGGCTTCTGTCACAGAGCAGGCACGAAACACTGCAACGGTTGTGATGTCGCTTCGCGACGCCGGATGGCGGGCGTGCTTGCTGGCAAGCAGCCCGCGGGTGGGCCGCCTGCGGGCAGGAGGCGGGCCGGAGGCGGGCAGGAGGCGGCAGCACAAAGGGGACCCTGGCATCGCTCGGGCGTGTGCATCTCTTCCTCGGCGAGGACTGCGATGCTCCAACCTACTTTAGCCTTGATCACCAGAAAGAGTTTCGAGCGCCCCAAAAAAGTACCGAAACTCAAGGGTTTTCACGTGTCGGGCTCTGGGAGACACTCGCCGGGCACTGTTTCGACACTGTTCCGACACTCTTTCGACTTTTCTCTGGCTGCTCGAAATTATTTCTGGGATGCGGTCCTTAAGTAGGATGGGAACAGCATAAGGCGAGGACCAGCGAGGAGCCTCCCGGATATCACCGCAGAGCGCAAAAAAACACGCACGAGACCGAAGCGTGCACGGGGAGCTGGCGCCCGTGCGAGAGCAAGGGGAGCGGGGCTCCGGCCAAAGGGAGGCTCGCCCTGCCGCGGCGGCGCCCTCCTCGCTCGTCGCAGCCTCTCGAGGAGGAGCAGGAACAGGAGGAGGAGCAAGAGGAGGAGCAGGAGGAGGAGGAGGAGGAGCGAGGAGGAGGAGGAGGAGGAGGAGGAGGAGGAGGAGGAGGAGGAGGAGGAGGAGGAGGAGGAGGAGGGGAGGAGGAGGAGGAGGAGAGGAGGAGGAGGAGGAGGAGGAGGAGGAGGAGGAGGGGGAGGGAGAGGAGGACGAGGATGAGGAGGAGGAGGAGGAGGAGGAGCGATCGTGACGCGACCATTCCTCTGGCGGAGCTCTCGCGCTGGCCTCTCTCTCCGGATGGGTCTGTGCGCCTCGGGCTGCGTCTACGCCTCGCGCTTCTTGCTGCTCGCCCGCCGTTCCTCTCGACTGCAGCATCGCTCGTTCCTCTTGCCGGCCTCCTCCCACACAATGGGCAGGAGGGGACGCGTATCGGGTATGGCCAGGACCCCGGGAAAGGGGACCTGGTTAGTGGTAAGGCCCCGGAGCCTTCGAACTGTCCAGAATCACTAAACCAGGTTTGCCATAGCTGGTGTTTTTTCGGGTGACGGCAGTTCCGGTTAGTGAACATGGGAGGGGGGGGGCGCCCCCGGTACAGATCACTAAACCAGGTTTCACTAAGCCCAGTTCTACCAACGCCCGAGCGTAGAGGGAGAGGGAAACAGAAGGGGCAGGGAGAGACAACGCACTCGAATGATACTGAGTAGGAGGAGGATAACGAGTAAATATCAAGCTGGAGTTTGATGAAGCTTGGCGAAGGAGGATGAGGATGGGCGGATGGATGAGCGATGTAGAAGAAGAGGAGAGAGAGAGAGAAGAAGGATGGAAAGGAGGGAAGATGAACACATAGGATGAAACATCAGGGGGAGGAGACAGGGAAGGAGAAAGGGATGGATGGAAGGATGCTGAGGGAGGAGGAGGGAGGAGGGGAAGGATGCTTGGGTCGTGTCGTGGGCGCGAGTCGAAGTGCGCGGATGATGGCGATATGGAGGATGGTAGGGATTGCGACGATGAGGAAGACCCGCCCTATGGAAGCATTGCCAGCGTTGCCCGCCCGTTGTATGGTTTTTGTTCTGGCTCAAAGCACGACACGATGGAGTCGGCTTAAAACTTTGTCCGGATCAGTCAAGGTCAGCGGCTGCTTGCGATGGCGCCAACAGTGATTGGACTATGTTGTCACGCAACTTCATTTATAACAGCTGTGCTCACTATGGTGGCTTACCTATGGGTTGACATGGGCAAGGTCAAAGGGGTTCGGCAAGAGCCTACTGGTGCAGCAGAACATGGTGACACCGCGACAGAGCTAGTGCACTTCCACAAGGCGACGTTCATCTTGGGTACGGCAGGCATTCTTGAACTTATTCAGGTCTTCGCATCGATGGCGCACGGCCGTCACTTGTCAGAGAAAGGCGACTGCGACGAGTTAGTACCTCGAATATACCTACCCAGATGGACGGACAATCAGCTTTTGCTTGTCGTGTATGGGGTGTTGTTCGCGTTCTACTCCGTCATGGCGATGGGCTCCTTCGGGGTAGTTCATCCAGATCCATTCGCATCCAACCGCCCAGTCTATGGGCTTCGGTATGTTGAGTGGTCCATCGCAGTCCCATTCTTGATGACAATCGTGGGACGCTCAATACCCCGTCTACCGCACACACCAGCCGTCGACACGGTGCCAGCGATATCCAGCTGCCTGCGGCAAGTCCCGCCACCGTGCCAGCCCAGCATTCTGAGCGGCGTCTACTCGAGGGAGGCCCTCTTAATGCGTCCTGGTGCTCTCTTCGGCCGTCTTGGGGGCCTCTTGGCCGTATGTGGGCTGTCTGGAGGCCGTCGTGGGGCCGTTTAGGTGCCGTCCAGGGCCGTGGAAGAGCCTTCTAGGGCCGTCTAGGGTCACTCCAGAGGCCCACTGGGGCCGTCTAGGGGCCGTCTCGGATGCCTCCCGAGCCATCGAGGAGTCCTCTTGGGCCATGTTGGGGCCCTCTTGGGGGCCTCTTGGGCCGTCTTAGGCTCATCTTGAGGAATTTGTGCGCCATCTTGAGCTGACGGTTGCCCGAAAAGGTTAGAGTGCGAAAACAATCCAGCAACTTTTCTGAGGAATCAGCGATGCTCGGAACCTGTTTGGTGTCATCTTGTGGCCCTGTCGGGTTCTGGAAGGCATTTGGGGCCATCTTGAGGGCATACTGAATGTTTACGGTAGTTTCGCGAATAAAGGAATGCACGCATGACAACGTCAGCACAGGGTATCGTCGTGCACGCGTCGTGAGTGAGCGAGTCCAAGCAGGTACAGTATGTCAAACGAGCCCCCGTTAGGCGCGCGGGGCCTCGTACAACGTCATGGGCCACGCCAGCGGCGTGATGGGGCGCAGCCCCCCTGTGGCTGCATCCCAAGGTCCGTTCAGGTTCTTTGTAGTAAAATAGTAATATAGTCGCCAAACGGTGTACACATCGGGAAACGCCACCGCAGTTTATTGCTTCACACACGAGGAGCATCTCGGCACTTTGAGCTCGACCTGAAACATAGGTCGGTCATCAGCACCGTATGCCGATGCGCTTCCACCACTGCTGTTTGATAGGGACTGCCCGTCGGCCGGCTTGAAAAAAAACGAAGTGCTCTCATCGGTCACCGCCACCAGACCGTGTAAACTCATGAGCGGGGGCGCCTGAGCATTTGCAGGTCAACCTGAGCTTCTTCCCGTGCACATGGCGTTCTCATCGCACGCCGCCATCAGGCCATGGGAGTCCAGAAGACGCTCCACCGCCACCGCCACAAGGCGACTGCTCCGAATTCGTAAGATCATTTGCAGACGCGATGTATTGGGCCGCCTTGGGGCCATGTGGGGGCGTCCTCGAGGCATTTTGAGCCACCTTGGTTGGCCTGGTTGCCTGCCGGAGCCTCCTTGGAAGCTCGGGCCGCGGAGCCATGGTTTTCTACGCGGCGTCATGGCTTCGGGAGCGCGGCCCCATGGTTTTTAGGATGATCATGGCCGCGGTAGGGGGGGGCGATGTATGCAACTGGGTGCGACTGGGAGGGAGGGGGGCCTTAGAATATTACGGAAACCCTACCAGACAGCTCTTGGCATTCTTCTACGCCCCAACGTGCCAATGGACGGTTGCGGATTGTTGACAATGGTGTACATTTATTCGAGTTGGTTGGCACTCGTGATCCACGACTACTTCTGGCGGATGGTACTTATTGTGGTATCTTTTGTTGGCTATGGCCTGGCAACCTGGGACCAGTTTAATTGGTGTAGCAACTGCGACATCGCTGCACCTTCAGGTCGCCTCACCTGTGCTATGGTACTGGTGCAGGTCTCTTTGTTTGGAGTGTACGGGATAGTGTACCTCCTTGCTGCGTTTGACCTCATACAGCCTGTGACGGAACAGGCGCTGTACACTTTTGGGGATTCTGCAGCAAAGGTCGGGCATTCAGCATTTCTCCTTGCGATGCGACAGCAGAATCTTATGGCAGCAGTCTACGCTTCCCGGCAGAAGGCAACGGTCGCCGCCGACGACCTCGTGGAGCTCATCAACTCGGCCAGCGCACCTATTTTAACCGTCGACATGGATGACCGTGTCGTGGTTTGGAACCGGAAGCTGTTCGAGCTTACAGGGCGGAGCGCGGAGAAAATGAAGGGCGTGAAGCTGCTGGAGGTCATATCGCCATCCTGCCACACCGAGGTGGCGGCGGCGCTCAAGGCCTGCAGCGACGGCGATGCGGACACCACGAAGTGCTTCCATGCGGACCTCACAGTGGCGCAGGATGACAGTGCCAGCGCCAACAGCAGCTGCGGAGATGCGGTGCTCCTCCTCTCCTCGCCGTCGTTACCATCGTCCTCCTCCTCCTTCTCCTCCTCCTCCTCCTCCTCCTCCTCCTCCTCCTCCCTCCTGCTCCTTATCCGTCCTCTTCTCCTCCCCTCCTCCCGTCCTCCTCGTCCTCCCCTCTTTCCCATCCCCTCGTCTCCAGGGGCAGAGAGAAAGAGAGCGAGAGAGAGAGAGACAGAGAAAGAGAAGAGTTCCGCATTTTTCAAGCCTCCCAAACCATCCCTCCTCCCTCTTACCTGCAGACATGACGCCCTGACTGTTTCCAATGCGGGCCCCCTGGAAGTCCCGATCATTTCCCCGGGACCGGTTTTTCATGCTGAGTTGTTTTTGACGGTCCCGAGGCCCGGCGAGGGCCCCCCGAGGCCGAAAACTGCCAACAACCCGCCGTCCTGATTTTTTTGTACGACGCGATTATGTCTGGGTCCCCACCCTCTCGTCCTCCCCGCCCAAGGTCGTCTCCTTGATACTGAGCGCCACTCGGCAGCGCAACGCGGATCCCGAGCACAAGGCCAGTACCGCCGGGATCGTGCTGGTCGGCCAGGACCGCACACAGGTGGCACACTACGAGGCCCGCTGCCCCTCCTCCAGCTCCAGGAGGAGGCAGAGGCGGAGGAGGACTATTCTCTACTCTTTGCAACGCACAGCGTGCAGAGGACGAGGGAAAGAGAGGGGAGGAGGGAAGAGAGAGCCAGAACCCCCAGGGGCGACCCTGAAGGTCCCCTCCCCCCAGCCCTCCACCCCCTCCGCAAGGAGGGTGGGGAGGGGCCGCCTCAAACGACGGGGTGGGTTCCGGCTGTCGCTCCACCACATCACGCTTTGCCATTGCGGACGACACCCGCGCGTGAGCGATGTCTCGTGCTGACCTCGAGGCGCCAGAAGAAGAAGGGAAGAGCCCCTCCTTGATGCGCCCCAGATTCTCCCGACCTTTGCGAGTGATGGGAAGGAACTCTCCAAAAAGCTGGCGGCCATCAGTAGTGGCCGAACGACCGCATCTAACACAAACATGACAATTTACGCAGATCCCAGCGGGCCAGGGAGTGAGATCCGTGAAGCACGGTCCCGCGAACCTCCACGGGACCCCGAACCTGGAGGACCACATCCCTGGGAAAATCAGCCAGGACGTTTGAAACGCAAGTAGCCTCACAGACTTCAACAAGGGCATCCTTGGACGAAAGAGAGCCGCACTTACTGCAACGAGACGCCCTGCCTATCGCCTCGAAGCGGTGGGCGAATTCCGAACGGCGACCTCTGATTTGGAGCCCCTCCTGGCCACCTCAGGGCCAGCGCAGGCTTTGTCCAAGGGGTCCCTTCAAGGATCGGCACCGGCTGCGTCGGCCAGGGCCCTTCGGGCAGCAGTGACGTCTCAGAGGTCGGTCTTGGGTTCAGGTCCGACCAGACTGAGAGACCAGGCCCTGGATGCTGCCCCCACAGGCGCTTCGTCAGCCAGCCTGTTGCCAGCCGTCAAAAACTTTTCATGATCACTCAATTCGGGATTGTCCTCCGTGACGTGCGAGGGGGTCCAAACAACTCTGACGGAGCCCTCCCTTCTGCCGTCCACGGCGGTTTTAATTCTCAGCCAGATACCCGAATTGGAGCCAACGATGTTCCAAGCAATCCTCCGACCCCAACCCGACAACAAAGGGAAACCATCGATTACGTAAACGATGGGTCCTGAGGTCAGCTCCAAGGCCAAGGCGAACGCCTGCAGCTCAGACCAAGGCACTGTCTGCCTTCGACCTCGCAGGACGTCCGAGAAACCTCCAAGGACCTCTCAGGAGCCTGGACCGCTGGAAGCAGCCCATCGCACTACAACGGCGGCCGAGCCGCACCGTCTTCTCCCAGGGTCGGAAGAAAACTTGCCCCCTGAACCATCTCCGAAGACGAAGTTCGCTTCGGAGTCTCTGGACGCCGGGCAGTCACGGAGGCTCTGGGATCCGAGGGAACGGCCAGAGAGTTCAGGATCGGGGTCGCAGAACATTGGATGAGTGAGCTCCACAGGAGGGACCCCACGAAGCCACAAGGCAGGGTTGGTTTCTGAACCCGCAAGGGCCTGGGGCACCAGATAATCAGTGCTGCTGTAATCAGCGTGGCCCACATTACACTTACAGAGCCAAATCCTGTGGAGCAACATCTTATCTTCCTCAATACAACGTGGGCATTTCTTTTTCTCAGGGTGGCCCAGCAGATACTGGCGCTCCCTCGTCCACTGCGCGCCAGTGGTGACGCACACGTTCAGGCCGACCTGGTCGAGCTCGCCAGCTCGCGCCTGGCCCAATAGAGGTCTGCGCCACGAAACAGATCCCCCCAGCTTCATGAGCGGCGGCCTTCACCCACATTTTGCGACGCAAATCATCGACCAGCTCATCCAGAACCTCCGAGACGTTGGAAAATGGCATGTCTCCCATGCACCTTCTGACGGCCGTAGCCAGTGTGTGGCCGAGCGCGGTTGCCATCCTGCGTCAAGGATGGTGGCGATCAACGCCGATAGCGGCCCTTTGACCACAGACCATCTGCGACTGCCCGCATCCACCAACCTGCCAAGAATTGGGGGCCACGCTCGCTCAACTCGCGAATGGATGCTGAGATCGCTTTTCTAGGGAACACACTATTCTGCAACCAGCGCACGACGAAGCTCCAAGTCAGGGTCCTAGAGCCAGTAGGTCACGGCCAGGGACGTGGTGCGGCACCTGCCTTTGATGGGCCCCGTGCTCGCGTTAGCCGCCTGACTCCTGAGCAACGTAAGACTGGACGGCGATAAGCTTTGAACCTGAAAGCCATACGAGCTGTGCGGTAACGTGCCTATGGTCCACAAATCATGGGTGGCACGACGAAGAGCAACATGGCGCCTAAGCCTGGTAATGTTCATAGCTCTCTTAGCCCCTGCAGCCGATCTGAGAGTAGATTTCTTCACCACTCTCCGACGACCAGCTGCTGTGTCAACTCCTAGGTCCACACCATCCAGGCAAAACTTCACAGGTATGCCCTGTCGTCGTAACACACCTGCCACTTCGCGACCGTCTTGGGGGCTCGAGGCGATAGTAACAGACTTGTCAGAAATGATACGCCGACGCGAACGAGCTTCCTCGCACAACACCTGCGTGGAGGATAACAGCGGGTCCTTGGCCACCTGCCTCGAGCCCTCATCCCTCGCGACCGTGTCATCGATGAAGGTCCAACAGGTGGCGAAAGCAGCCCTGTGGTGGGCTGTCTGAGGCAGAGGATGTAAGAACGTATTGGCCATCCTTACCCCAAGTGGAGAGCCAGCCACTAAGGACCTCGTGGACTGAATCGGGTCAGCAGCTCCCAGCTGACCTCGAATATACTGTGACGCCGCACAAAGTTGAACTTCCAACAGCACCACAATATGAGGAACCTCCAGCGATAGAGCCGCTTCTGATAGCAACACCCAGGGCAACGAGTCATAGAACTTCTCGAAGTTAAGCAGTAGTGTGGCGGTAGAGACACCAGAAACGCTGCAGTGTCGTCAAGCAGCGCACGTTCAAGCGCTGTTCGCATGGCACTACTACCTGCCACTGCGGTGTCCCAGAAAGCTTCCAATCAATATTACCCAGAAAAGGTAACTCCGTACCGAATGCGACTCCATATCTTCGACGTCTCAGGTAGCAAACCAACGACCCGCTCGCCTCCTTTGGGCTTAGGTGTGAAAGCTCCAATCGTGCCCATCAGCTGCGCGGGCAAAAGGCCTGCCGTTTCGATGTCTTCCAATAGCTGCCTAAACTCCATCCGTCCAATAGGAGGGAGTCTTTGGATATCTTAAGGTCTGATTGTGTCCACTCCCGACGCCTTTGTAGGTAATTTCCGGACCACCTCATCTACTTTGTCCAGGTCGAAAGGGGGAAGGGGATCATCAGCCGCTAGCGTTCGTAAGCGAGCCATGGTCTGGAGGATGTCTTCAAACGTGTCCACGGGATCTGTCCACAACTTTTCCCAGCTGCTGCGTTTGTGCTCCATCTGGCTGGCTGGGTCAGCCAGCACCTCACCTCCGACCAGAGGTGTTTGTGCAACTGGGCCAGGGATCTTGACCAAAGCGTGTAACCTGCCTGGCTTGTACTTCCACTGCGTCTTGGCCCAAGAGACGAACTCACTACGACGCTTGCTCATTGCTCTGCCTTGGGCTCGACCTGCCAGCCTCTCGGTGAGCGAAACGAGACCTTGCAGCTCGGCATCCGAGGAGCTGACAATTGCGCTGGCCCATCGTAGCCAGCACGCGCGGTCCTCAGTCTCGTCTTTGCCAAATTACTCAACTGCGTCGAGGCGCTCCGCCTCCCGACACCGTGCCTGCAAGTGACCTAGGCACGACGCCTGTTGACGAGGGTTTTTACCGTGTCGGCGAAGATCTGAGTATCTTTCCAAGCTGGTGCGAACTAAGCCCGACCATTTCGCAAAGCCATCGACCATGTGTGTTCGTCCTGGCGCTGCTTTGGACTCCTGCCAGACAAGCTGAAAACCACAGGCTCTACCGAGCTCCTCCTGCACTGAAGGAGGCGGAGGAGGCGGAGGAGGAGGAGGAGTGGGAGGCGAGGGGGAGGAGGAGAAGGAGGAGGAAGAGGAGGACCAGGAGGCGGAGGAGGCGGAGGGGGAGGAGGAGGAATCGCGCTCAGAGATAGGGTCGAGAGTTCCAGTCGCGCTATTGTTCGCCAAGACGTGCTCTCTTCGCGACGTCTGGCGGCGGGGTTCTTCTCTTCTTTCTCTTCCTGTCCGCACGGACATTCGCCCCCTGCTTGTGTGGGGGGGGGGACCTTGGCACCAGCCCACGCCAGGCCGGCCGCCGGGAGGGGAGCTCCAAGCGCATCCCGGTGTCTGGCCGAAGGCCCGGAGGCTAGACCCAAGATCAGCGGAGTGGACGCCACCGGGATGCATCGGATTGGTTGCGGTTGCGCTCGGGGGCCTGGAGGCGGGGCGTCACATGCAAGCGGGTGTCAGCCAGAGTGCCGCATCTTGCAGGATACTGTGCAGCCGGGGTTGCATTGACCCAGGCCAGCGCACAGGATCCTGCAGAATCCTGCGAAGACTGACTGGCCCAGGTTTGCATTGCCCTGGTTGAGTAGAAGCCCGATGAGTGCGGGCGAGTCGAAGTTGCGCGTGCAGGCGAGGGGGGGTCATCGGCCGCAGACAGGGGCAAGGTCGGCAAGACGTGTCGCTTTCTCCCTGGGGCGGTGCCTGGCAGTTCCCGCGTTTTTTACCCTGCCCCGTACGTTGGACCCGTGCGGGTTTCTTGTGGTCCCATGGCTGTCCCGCTGTTGTAGATTGGTGGTTCCCTCGTTGTCGTGTGATATTATCCCGTGGCTGTCACGTGTTTGTCAGTCATCCGGATAGTTCGGTCCTTCGTTAGATCGCCATGTGATTAGTTATTCATCAGGGATCGCGCCCTTCCCACTCCACCAGTTCAACCAGTCCCGCTTGCCCCATACATAGAGGGAATAGGGCGCAGAGCAGGATAAGGGCCTGGATGGAGGACCCTCTTCTTCATCCAGTCCTTGGTTATCAGCCCTCCTCGAACGCGCGACCCAACTCGGGCTCGCATGTGGCAGTTCAAGTGGCATCATTTCCTGGAGGTGGCTTTCTGCAGCTCCACTTCCGGAGGCTTCGACGTCCTGTCCTAAGATTTCCCATGCGGCCATGGGGTGTTAGCCCACGGAAAAAAAGCCGCTCTGGGGGGGTCCGTGAGGCCCCCCGATCTTTCGATTTCCACAGCTGCAGCGTAAGATCCACCATACTGGTCCACAGACCTCCTACCCTGACACGTCGATCAGCGAGTTGGCCGCTTTCGCTTCGCGAGAGGGCGTCGCGGCCGTCACTTTTGCGGGTCCAGGCCCGTCGGTTTCGGTCCTAGGCCGTTAGGAGGAGGAGGAGGAGGAGGAGGAGGAGGAGGAGGAGGAGGAGGAGGAGGAGGAGGAGGAAAGGGTGGTTTACTAAAGGAAGGCTTGTCCACCGCCGAAAACAATAACATGAACATGCAAACTCGGAGGTCCGCGCGGATTTCTCGGATGGGCGCTGGGGCCCTCCCTGGCGGCGCCTCCGGCGCTGCCCCTGGCGCGCTCCGCGCGCCAGGGAGGGGGGATCCAGCGCCAGTCCGAGGACTCCGCGCGGACCTCCGCGCGGTCCTTGAGGAACTTCGTCCACGACGTCTATTCGGACACGATCTGAGGCCACGGCCTCTTGCGCCGTGCCCAAAAGGGCACGGGCACACCTGCGTGCCCGACTCTGGCGCCCTCGCCTCGCCTCGCCTCGCCTCGCCTCCGAGTGTGTCGTTTCCGTCCTCGCTTGCTCCCCTACCTCAGGCGCTGGAGGAGCGCAAGAACCGCTTCATGGCCACCGTGTCGCACGAGCTTCGCAGTCCGCTCCACGGCATCTGCGGCCTCTCGGCGGCCCTCGAGAAGGACGAGGCCAGCGAGGGCCGCCGCAAGCAGCTGGGGATGGTGCGCTCCTGCCTCGGCGGCCCCGGCGTCCTCCGCTGCGGCCAGAGAGGATCAGGAGGAGCGTGACGGAGGAGCGGGTGGTGTGCGGGAAGGAGGAGCAGGAAGGGAGAGTGAGGAGGAGGAGGAGGAGGAGGAGGAGGAGGAGGAGGAGGAGGAGGAGTAGGAGGAGGGTGAGGAGGAGGAGGAGGAAGAGGAGGAGGAGGAGGAGGAGGTGGACGAGGTGGAGCGACTGCATCGCGAGGAGGGGGAGGATGAGGAGGATGAGCAGGGTGAACATAATAATGATACGATGGTTGCTAGTGATGGGCATGAGAACCAGTCTTCTCAGCTAAGAAAGACGTTCGTCGGAGCATCGATCCGACTCGTCGCTGGCTTACTCAGCAGCTTGACGCACGCTCTCCGACAGCTTTTACCCTGGTGAGCTCCGACTCGAGAAGGACAAGAATGCCAACACCAATGCCTGCGAAGGACAACCTATGGGCTATTGCCTTTGTTCTCGCTCTGGGTGGGCTGGTCGCACATGAACCAGCTTGTGACCGAGCATGGCAGGAAGTGAAGGAGGAGCGATGAGAGCGGTGGATGAGACGGCGGAGAATGGAGGAGGTCCGGAAGGATCAGAGAGCTGGAACGCGGAGGTGCACGCGGAAGATCGAGGAGAAGTGAGGATGATGATGATGATGATGGTGATGATGGTGATGCTGCTGATGATGACGATGCTGATGCTGATGCTGATGATGATTCTGATGATGATGCTGATGATGATGATGATGATGATGATGATGATGATGATGATGATGATGATGATGATGATGATGATGATGATTATGATGCTGATGATGATGAGGAGGAGTAGGAGCGAGGATGATAAAAACGACGTTGAGGAGTGAGACGGGAGGAGGATGAGGATCAGGACACGTCATGCTTGCAGCGATTGCTCATCGCAGTCGCGTGATCGTTTGTTGCACGGGCCAGCTTTGGGCTGGCCCAGACTGTGATCGGCATGGCTTCAGGTACTGTCGTTACGGCTTGGGGACCACCAGCCCAGCAGGAGGGGAATGAGCGGTGACGGTGGAGGAAGTCGATGAGGAAGAGCAGAAGGCAGAGGATCCGGAGGAGGAGGAGGAGGAGGAGGAGCGAGGAGGAGGAGGAGGAGCGAGGAGGAGGAGGAGGAGCGAGGAGGAGGAGGAGCGGAGGAGGAGGAGGAGGAGCGAGGAGGAGGAGGAGAGGGAGGAGGAGAGCGAGGAGGAGGAGGAGGAGGAAGAAGGGAAGGAGGAGGAGGAGGAGGAGGAGCGAGGAGAGGAGGAGGAGGAAGAAGAGGAGGGGGAGAAGTAAGAGGAGAGGAGGATGGAGGAGGAGGAGGAGGGAGGAGGAAGAAGAGGAGGGGGAGGGGTCGCCCTCAGAAGCACATTAGTTCTCTTCCTGCATCCTCGCATGCTTCCCGAACCCGTCCTCGCTCCCTCGTCTTGCTGCTCTCCCTCGCCCGTGTTCCCCTCTTTCCTCTTCCTTCTCCCTTCTCCTCCTTCCTCGCCCCCTCCTCCTCCTCCTCCTCCTCCTCCTCCTTCTCTTCCTCCTCCTCCTCCTCCTCTTCCTTCGCCCTCCTCCTCCTCCTCCTCCTCCTCCTCCTCCTCTTCCTTCTCCCCCCGCCAAGCCGATCCCCTCCTTCCTCGCCCCCCGCCGAGGGAGCAGGGGGAGGTGGGGAGAGGGGAAGATCGGACGGGGACCTCCCGATATCTCTGCAACGATCGGGGCTTCGACCAGGGGACGCGTCCGGCCGTGTGGTCGGCCCCGTCACCGAGACTCCTGCGCCACTCGCCTCCTGGACCTCGTGGCGAACATCATGGACATGACCGCTCAGCGGAGCAAGAATAAGGACAAGAAGCCGCTCGTCAAGGATCCGGTCCACCTGTCCGCCATCCTCGAGGAGGTGCGCTCGGGGCGGAGCCCTCCACGCGTATGCCTGGGGCGGCGTGCTCTTACACACAGACACACACACTCACACACACACGCAAACACAAACACGAACACACACACACACACCACACACACTAGCATGCAGATGCCCGTGCATGGCCGCATGCACACGGAGGGACGATCCCCTCAGGCGTCTGCGCCGCTTGTTTCGCCAGTGCCGCCGCCGCGCATAATATAATGTGTCGAGTCAGAGATCGACCACAGACTCTAGTGACCCCAGGATTTTCTACCTCGCCGAATCTGCAACACAACTATGAACCCATCGGTCGTGTTGAAAGTCGGTGTTTTTGGATTTCCAGATTCCAGTATACTTTAAGCGCCCTCCTACTTCAATGATCGAGCGGCTTCCCTTTCCCGTCCTCTTCAGGAGGCGGGCGGACACCATATCTACTCTCATCAGCGCCCTCCTGCTTCCTGCTTCTGACTGCTTCTCCCGGCCGATGGGTACGGCTCCCGTAGATCGGGGGCGGAAAAGAGGGGGGTGATGACTAGGGGGGGGTGGATATCATGGCGGGGGCCATGATATTTCCCCAGATCTCATGGCGCCCCTTCTTATTTCATTACGTCCCCCCGCTGGGCCGCGCACATGCCGCTGGTCATGATTTGCACCCCCCCCTCTTGGACGCCCCCCTCTTGGCCGCTCCCGAGTAGATCTGCGAGCCTTCCCGGCGAACGACTCACATGTGGGGTGGCTCCGATGCGAATGGTGGCCGCTGTACCCGCGGCCAGCGCGCAGCAGAGCGCCCCGCGGCGCGCGCCGTGGCGGCCGCCGCGCACGAGCCCGCTTCGGAGGTAGCTTCTATAGACCTGCTCGGGTGGCAGCGCATGTTTCGGGGGCGGCAAACAGGGGGGTGATGACTACGGGGGGATGGATATCATGGCCTTGGCATCGCTCGGACGTGTGCACTTTTCCTTCTGCGAGGACCATCGAGGAGCATCCTTGATCATTTGGCGAAAAATAGCACGCACAAAACCGAACAAAAACACAGGGAATGGACGTCCGAGCGATGGCCAATGGCGGGGGCCATGATATCTCCGCAGATTTCATGGCGCCTATTCTTGTTCCATTACGTCCCGGGCCCCCCCGCTGGGCCGCGCACATACCGCCGGTCATGATTTGCACCCCCCCCTGTTGGACACCCCCCTCTTGGCCGCTCCCGTATGTTGTTTCCTGTGAGCAGCATGCTGTTCGCAAGTAGGGAGACGAACCATGACATAAACATAAACCAACGCGGAGGTCCGCGCGGATTTCTCGGATCGGCGCCAGGGCCCCCTGGCGGCGCCTCCGGCGCCGCCCCTGGCGCGCGGAGCGCGCCAGGGAGGGGGGTCCAGCGCGGATCCAAGACAACCGCGCGGACCTCCGAGTTTTTATGCTTGTGCCATTCTCCGTTCCCCTAGCAGGGGAGCTGTATGGGCGTCGGGAGTGGCTTGACGGCATCCGGCTCCTCGGGGGGATTCGTGAGTCCTGCTGGGGTCCTTTGGGGAGGTTTGCCGTCATGACGACGTCTGAGGAGCGTCTACTGGCCGTCTGAGGGAAGGTCAGGAGGCAGACACAGTGTACACCGTAAGACTTTTCTGCTCCGCCGGCCCACCCCCCACCTCACCGTGTGCACGTGAAACGTGCGTCATCGCGCTGGCGTCGGCACCGTGGCATCGGCCACGCGCACCCTCCTAACTCAGGAAGGAAATACACGCACAGACGCAATGAATCATCGACTCCCAGGAGAAGACGGGAACATATGGGAAGTGGGGGGGAAGACGAACACCCAGACAATATGGAACATATGGGGAATCCTGGGATTTGTGTATTTATGTGTGTGTGTGTGTGTCCTTGGGCCCCTTGACTCACGCCACGCGCGCACCCCGCGGCTGGACCCATGCTCGACGCCGCTTCACACACCAGCGCGACTCATCAAGAGAGTGTGCACCTGCGTGGCAGTGTACATGTGCAGGCACGCGTGCGACATCGCGCTGACGTTCGAAGCACTGCAACTGCCGAGCTGCATGGAAGCAAGGGATGGCACGAGACGTGACGACGAGATGGGACGGCAGCATGGGGCGGGACAGGATCTGATAGGGGGGTTCAGATGGGACGTTTTCTGGATGGAATTGCCTCGGCACCACACGGGCACCGTGCGGTTTCGGGGGGGGTCTCTTCCGCAGCTCCGTCTCTCCAATGTTCCGCGCATGACACGATAGGGTTATTTTCTGTTGAGTTCTAGGGGGTCCGATCTGACACGCGTCGGCGGATCGAGAAGGGGCTGGGAGGGGACGGGTGGGAAAGGTTCGGTGGGAGAGGGTAGGAGGTCAGATCCGGCGCGAGCGCACCCAGTCTCGCCCTCCCCCGCTCTCCCTCCTACCCTCCCCTGCCCCCTCCCCCTCCCAGCCCCCTCCCCTCCTCCTTCCTCCTCCTGCCTGTTCCTCCTCCTCCTCCTCCTCCTCCTCCTCCTCCTCCTCCTCCTCCTCCTCCTCCTCCTCTCCCTGCTCCTCCTCCGCCTCTGCCGGTTCTTTCTTGCAGCCAGTCGCGGCGCGGCCGGGGGGATCACCCATCCGGGCGGCCCGTCTGGCCCCCATTCCTCGCAGTCCCTGCCGCGGGCGCAGGGGGTGCCTTCCCCCCCCCCTCCCCTGCTCCTGCTGGGGCGCTCCTGCGTCTGCTCCCCCACCATCTGCACGTTTCTCCTCCTCTCTCTTTTCGTGCTTCTCCTCCTCCTCCTCCTCCTCCTGCTCCTCCTCCTCCTGCTCCTGCTGCTCCTCCCCCCCTCCGTCGCTCCTGCTCCTCCTCTTCTCCCTCCTTTTCTCCTCCTCCTTCACCCTCACGTCTTCCTCTTCCTCCTACTCTTCCGCCACAGTGCCACGCATCTCTTCGAATGGGCCCGCCCCATGGTGTCCGCTCTTCACGGACACTGGACTTCTGCCTCATCCTCCTCCTTCTCCTGGCTCGGGATGGGGGGCTCTGACCTGGCATCAGGTGATCGAGCTCGTCTCGAACGCCACAGACAAGGCGACGCTTCCTCTCATATGCAGCCTTGTACTCTTCCTATTCTCCTCCTCCCGCCTCCCACCTCCACTCCCCCCGCCCTCCTCGCCTCCTCTTCCGCCATAACGCCACAGACGAGGCAATGCGACCTCTGTTAAGCCGCGAGTGCTCCCTCGTCAACACGATCGTCGATGGGACGCTCCCTCTTGTCGAGGGGGACGCGTACAAGCTCACGCAGGCGCTTCCTCTTCATGTTCATCATCACCTTTCATCGCCTCTTCCATTCGCTACTCGTTCTCGTCGCCTTCCTCCTTAGGTTCCTTCCTAACGCTGTCCCCCGTCTATCCTGCCTCTCCTGCGCCTTCTCTCCTTATCATCCTCGTCGTCATCCTTTCCCCCTGCACATCTTCTGTCCCATTACTCATTATCACACTGGCCGTCGTCCCTCATACGCTTCCTCGTTCTCACCTTCCTCCCGCACCTCCGCCCGCTCCTCCCCTCCCCCGCCTTCTCGCACAGGTGTTCTTCAACCTCCTCACGAACTCGTGCAAGTTTTGCCGAAGCGGGCGCATCGAGGTGCTCATGAGGACGAGGAGGAGGAGGAGGAGGAGGAGGAGGAGACGGAGGTGGAGAAGGACAAGGAGATGGAGGGCGAGGATGAGTTGGACGGGGGGAAAAAGAAGGAGGAGGAGGGCGATGGGGTGGGGGACATGGGGAAGGAGGAGAAAAGGAAGGGGAGGAGGAGGAGGAGGAGGAGAAGGAGGAGGAGGAGAAGCTGGAGGAGAAGCTGGAGGAGGAGGAGGAGGCGTTGTAGGAGTGGGAGCGGGTCCATCGAGGTGTCGGCACAGCGCGACAGCGCCGATGGCCTCGTCAGCATCAGTGTCAGCGACACCGGCATCGGCATCGCGCCCGAGGCCCTGAAGCGCATCTTCGAGCCCTTCGAGCAGGACCGGGGGCGGCAAAGAGGTGGGTGATGACTAGGGGGGTGGATATCATGGCGCGGGCCATGATATTTTCTCAGATTTCATGGTGCCTCTTCTTGTTTCATTACGTCCCAGGCCCCCCCGCTGGGCCGCGCACATGCCGCCGGTCATGATTTGCACCCCCCCTCTTGGACACCCCCCTCTTGGCCGCTCCCGACAGGAGGACAGCTCGACGGCCAGGAACTTCGAGGGCATCGGCATCGGGCTGGCGGTCTCCAAAGGCGTCGTGGAGCAGCACGGGGGCAGCATCGTCGTCAAGAGCACGCAGGGCCGCGGTTCCGTCTTCACCGTGCGCCTGCCCGTCCTGCACTCGCCGCAGGTCCCTGAGAGAGCTGTCAGCGTGCCGCCAGGTCTTCATTGGAAGAAGAG